GAGGAAACATAACTCGGGCGAGGCTTCAGAGGCAAACTTTTGCCCAAGTTATGGAACGCAATCCAGACGCATGGGAAAGAAAAGAAGAAAAAGCCGACGGCCGAGCTCGGAAAACACAAGCTGACCTCGCGAATGGTAAAGAGGTGGAAGAGCTGGCTTCTTATCATGAGCCAAGGTGTCTTGGCAAATGGTAGATCCGCAGCTCCAAAGTCGACGAAAAACAGATAAGAATGTTAAAGGTACGCAAATTGGTGCCGGGTTCAGAATCGAAGTATCTGGCCGATAATAGCCAGACCGGGACGAACTGGAACCAGCTGAGCAGCCATCGAATGCAAGGCTACTCATCTATTTTCGAGGTGGCCGAGTGTTCCTCCTCCGGCTCCCAAGCCTCATCAATCTCAATAGCGGTGCGTCGGCGAGCAATATTGACGTAAACGTTCTCGTGCCGCCTGCTTCGGAACAGAGCCAAGACGTGAGGATCGTACGGAGAACCTCTATGAAGAGGCTTCAAGGTTTGCAAAGGGATAATAACCTCCTCCGCATGAGATGAGCCATGGTTCACCTCGATGGGGGTGCTTGGAGCCTGACCCATCTCGTCAGGGGCATCTCCCATGGAAGCATCGTCGTTGTCGGTGTTGCCATTGTAGTAATCATCAGAATCGAGGTTTCTGGGCATGATAATTTCTTCCTGGAAAGTCGCAGACGGCGGAGAAGCGGACTGCATGACCATACTTCCATCGTTCGACTGAGTGATAGGCATGATCTCGAAGGCACCTGGCTGCGCTCGGAAGAAAAGCTCTCTTCCTAACGCCGCGAAAAATTCGTCCGACTCCATGCTTGCTTGCTTCCACAGCGAGTCAGTTACTCTTCCAGGCTCCATGTCTTCGGCTGAGTCTAAAGCTCCGCCTTTGTCCACGGGAATATTCTCGGATGCGCCAGCTGGCTTCGTTTCTGTGCCGACGTCCAAGTCTTTCTTGGCAGCTCCAAGGCTCTGCATAGTTCGGCCCACGAGAGCAGATTGGTGTTTCTCTTTGGGAGGCATCTCAACGTCGTCCCAAGGGAGACCGCCAGCAAAGGGGTGTTCGTGCCGCTGTCTCTTCGCCGGTCTTTCGATATCGTCCCAAGGAGAGAGTCTGCCGTCAGTGTGCCGTTTGGTCAGGCGGGATCGAAGCTTCGCCTCTTCCTCGTCAAGTTCTCTATCTAGACTCTGCTCTATGGCTTTTTTCAGGCCCAAGGCACCAGTTTTCTCCGATTCCTTAGGACGATAGGCAAGATTGAGATGAGAATGCTCATCAGAGCGGAACGTATCGTCAAGACGGCTGGAAGTATCAGGACGGTACGTATCGATGAATTGACGAGTGTCGTTGGGGCGATAAGTGTCAACGCGTTGGCGTGGTCTCTCGGGACGGCTACTATCGTCCGCAAGGCTCAAGTCGATAGGGCGATAAAAGTCCGAACGAAGTCGATGTCCGAGTGGTTGAGAGTTGCTTCCAGACTGACGAGGACCTACACTGAATTTTTGGAAATTCGGTGATTCGTCTTGGTCGCTGTCAGGGCTAGATTGCAAAAGTCGGGCTCGCTCCTCATTCATATAGCGTCCATTGATGCTGGAACTTTGGCTGAAAGATCTGGAGTGACTGCGCTTTCTCGATGAGCTCTGTCTCAGGTCTTCGCTCGATATCGCCGTGTTCCGAGACCGTTGTCGGAGGGAAGCAGTGGAAGTGTTGGCCCTCTTCTGAGGACAATCCTGGATAAGGTGATCTCTACACTCTCCGCAGATGTGGCAGACGTACTTCTTATGAAGAAGAGGCTTGGTCGAGGGGCAGTGCTGAATGAAGTGACCTGTATTGGCAAGTCCCTCGTTAGTTTTCCGACGACAATCTTCTTGGCTTCATTGTCAGCTACCTGGCATTCCGCAGCGATTGCATACGTAGCCAGCATGAGGCTTCTGCTGGTTCAAAGACAAAGTCTCAGGCGATCGGTCAACGAGCTTCCGCCGACGACTGGGACGGGAATCTTCAGCGTCAGGGCGTATGTTTCCCGATTTCCGAACTTCGGGGACTGGCTCGCTCGCTTGGGTGTAAAGTCCAGCAGGTAGGGGTGAATCTGGCAGGCGCGCGGCCAAGGCTGCCTCTTTTGTGGCAGATGAGTTCTTCACCTTATGGTGGACACCACGCAATTTGTAGTTGATTTCGATGTCCCGTCTGGCAAGGTTGAAGGTCCGCTTATCCTGAGGTCGGTCTCTGAGGTAGTCTTTTTTGTGCTGGTTGAAGGCGCTGAGCACAAGATGCTTTTCGTACTTCCTAGAGCTGAGGTAGTCGCAGGCATCTCGAATAACCCTGGAAGAGGCTGTGTGATCTGTAAGGCCCAGAAAAGGAGTCTGCCTGGCAAGCCACTTCGTGTAAAGTTCCAGAAGTGTCTCGTCATCAATGTCCTTTGAGTGTCGGTGAGTCAATTCCCACTCGACATCTCTCTGGTTCAGGCTGTAGAACTCTCGAGGGTGCATCCCAAAGATGAGGAGCTTTAGATTCGTCATCTTTGTCCGCTGTGGAAGTGTTGGGAAATTCTTGGCCAAAGGTCGAGATAGAAAATTGGCCTTTCAGAGGTGAGGTTGCTGCGAAGTTCCTTGCTCCTCTTGGGATTCTCGTGGCTCCTTCCGAAGCTAGAAATTGACTGGATATGGAAAAAGACTAGGTCGGAAAGCAGTGCACAGAGCAAGGCCTGCTGTGGAAGAAGTGAACTTTGAACGGAGTAGCAAAAGATCGTGATGAGATTGGGGGAAAAAAGCTCATTCGGGAGCCGCTTTGCTCTGGAATGTGTTGAGAATATCGTCAATATAGTGGACTTAGGGGTGGTCGATGACTGAATCCATTAGTTGTTGTGAACGGAAGGCTCGTTCGGAGCAGGCCCCGGTACGAGATAATGACAGGATAGGGGTTAGTAGACAAGGCAGACATGCTCAGTGAAGAAGGCCTCCAAGGACACGGATCGAGCCTTCTCCAATTTGATGGACTGTCTAGGTACCGTCAAGACCGCCTTCCTTCAAATTCGTTCTTGACCCTGGCGAGGTAATTGCTACGCTCCTTTCCCCCCTACATGAACCGTTTAAGTAGATACTGGAAGCTCTATTTCGGGACACGATCCCCTCTTGCTGGTTGCCTACCGTATCAACATCAAAACCGGTAGACTGCCGTCACTCATTCATCGGACGTACCTCAGGAACGATGATGATGGAACCTGCACTTGAACTTACAACACGTCGCGAAACAAACCTCATTCTATCGAGGGATAAAGATCATGCCGATGCAGAACGCCTGCAATATGAATTCATTCCGCGCCATGCCTAGACCTTTGAACAAGAAGCATACAAGCCCTCAAATACCCTCCAAATGTTCTCGCATCAAATTAACCCCGATACCTGATCCTTGGCCAAAATATGAGACGCATCAGGCTCATCGCTTCAAAGCTTGAAATCTCCTCTCCAGCTCCGTAATGTCGGGTACGTTGCCTCCTGGCCCCTTTCCAGCTGGCTTCTTCTGCGCCGCTGCGTCCATCTTTTTGTTAGGCTTCAGCTCCAGTGAGTTGAGCGTTACTTTGGGATGGACGTTATCTGTTGTCATCCTCGGCGGTGTGACAGTCAAAGGGCTACTGGGACCTCCAATCGTCCTCGGCGGTGTCGCCTTGCTCAGCTCCTCCTGTTCCTTGGCCACTTTGGAGCTGTTTCCCAACGGACCCTCCGGTATCCTCACGCCAATCCCACCACTTGGGCTATCGTCGTCGTCATCGTCCAGAAGGTCCGGCGGCTCGTCTGCCAGAGGTCGCTTCGGCCAGTCCACATTGTACGCCTTGGCAATTTCCTCCAAGTACCCTTGTACGAGCTCTTCCCGCGGCGGTGTGACGCTCAGCTTCTTGACAACCTTGTCCGACACCTTGCCATCTGAGTTATCCATCGCCGCAAGAACAAACTCCTTGCCGTACTTCTCCGCCAACAGCGTTCGCACCACCTGCAGCTCCTTGATCTCCGTCTTCGGCGCGGCGTAGATGATGCTTTTGACCGCCTCCTCCAATCCCGGATCACAGACTGAACCCTCGAGTAGCCCCGCGCGGGCGATCAGTAGTTCGCAGTACAGCTCTAGTATCTCGTGTAGCTCGGTCGTGATGTCGGATCGGATGATATTCTCGACGCGAATGCGCGCAGAGTCGATTTTGCCCACCTCGAGGAGCTGCGCCATCGCGCGTCTTTGTGTCTTGCCCATGGAGTCATCGCGCTGCTGGACCATGCGTAGCCGTGCGATGGCCAGCTTGAGCTGGACCTTGAGCTTCGTCTATTGGAGATGGGAATGGCGCGGTTAGCAAAGCCATGTCGTCATAAGTGTCAGCGGGGCATGTCAAGGATGCGCGACTCACAACGACTGATGGCTGAGGAGGCATCTTGGTGAATTTTCTGTTGAGATTTGAGAGAGGGAAATGCCACAAGGCTCGAGTCAAATGGGACAGATTCCACCTCAAATATGGAGAGTTAACTAGAGTAACAAGACACAAGGCAACAGAATTGAAGCAGGAGAGTGGGCAAGTCCGGAAGGGGTCAGTCTGCCTTATCTAATCGGCACAGGTTGGTGGGATGGCTGGAGCTTGCGCCTCACTGCGGGGTACTTGTTCGTGCCCAAGTGGGAGGGACCAGGGGGTGTTCGAAAGCGGGTGGATCTACTCCGTGGTAAGGGCCATATAGGTATACCTAGGCCCAGAATCACTGCGTAAGGTAACTTACACCTGACGTATAAACCAGTCCTCGCTACTTTTGTATCTCATCAAACTAGGTCCAATTGCTCGCTGTGAACACTTCATGGAAAATGTGATCGCGATTTCTTGCCAAGGCCACAGGTCACAGAGCAGTGGCTGAGCGGCAGAAGAACTGCACTCATCAAATGGGTGTCTTCGTCGAGCTATCAAGGTGACTATTCATCTGACGTAAACCTTGCCTGTAACGCCAACAAGAAATATCAAAATAACGGGAAAACAAAACGCCAAGTCCACCTGTCCACCCGTGGGTATCGTTGCATTGTTCCAAAGGAGAAGTTAGGGTGAAGTCGACACAACCGTTGAAAGAAGAAGAAGACATGGAACCAGCAGCCGGCATGCGATCGAGGAAAGTGTTTCAGAACTAGAAGAAGATTAGCGGGAATACTCTGCTTAATTGAGAGTAAACGTACAATATTGAGCGCGGTATGCTGTGGAAGCCTGGTTCCGTTGAGCATGGCTCGAGTTTTCTTGGGTCGCTGCTGAAGGCGCCTGAAGGCTTCCTGAACGTGACGAGGCTCAATGGGACTTCTTCCCTCGCTCGGCGGGTCGAACAGGCCGGTGGCCACCTTGCGCTTCTTTGATCCTGCATTTTCACCGCCGCTCTGTGCCTTGAATAGATCCTCTTGCTCCTTGACCTTGAGCGCGTGCTCAGTCAGGGTCTGGACCATCTCGAAGGTCAAGAAACCCAAGATATCAACGATATCGTCAGAAGGTTTGCTGTCTGTGACAATACCAAATCCAGCCCACTCTCGAAATCTTTTGCCCTTGCGGTACGTGAACGAAGCTTGACGGTATTCGGACCATGTCACATACTCCTCCTTCGTCATGGCTTTTGTGCGCTCGTCGGCCTTGCGAAGACGTTGAAGGGTAATGAAGTTCATCTCCTCCTCTTCTTCATCCTCCTCGTCGTCACGCTCAGGGACTTCCTGGCTGTAGAATGAGGACGGTTCCCAGGGCAGGCCGACCTTGGCCTTTTTGTTCTTCTTGGTAGCGTCGTCGACCGGGCCACCAGGGACCACGCCACCGCTGGGATCTTCACCAGCTCCCAGGTCCGCTTCACCTCCCTTGTCGTCGGAATCCTTGACGTTCTTCCGGACATCTTTCCATGAGAGGAACGTACGCAGACGAGAAACTTTAGCTTGATCGTGGCGGATTTGGAAGATCAGGTCATTAATCGTGATGGCTCGGGCGCCGCGGCGAGCCGCAAGCTCAGTGCAGTTTCGAAGCTAGCGAGTTATTAGCAATGTAGAGACGTATGACGCTTGCACAACTTACCAGCTCAATAACTTGCTGGCGCACAATGTCCTCAATCATGCTAGTTGTCTCAATCGACGGTTCGGCAGTCTCGCCAGAGACGTACATCATCTTGCGCGCAACATTAGTAAGACGGTCTGACCAGCCATACGGCCCCTGGTTATTCAAACGCTGAGGCAAAACGAAAGCAGGCTTGTTTGGCGCTGGACGCGTGACCCTTTGCTTCTTCTCTTCTCCATACGGGAGATCAAGGATGGACTTAAAGCCGGAGTTGACCACGATGCCACGAACTTGGTCGAAGGCGGACTGAAACAGCTCCATGCTCTGGCGCTGGACACGCGCAGTGACCGCCGCCTTTGCTCTAGAGCGCCTGGGGTATTTCGGTTTCTTCGTAATAGTCTCAGACTCGGCGCTGCTATCATCGGCCAGCGGTTTGGTGCATTGTTCAAAGATGCCGAGAGTCATTTCAAGGCATCCGACGAGTTGGCTCACGAGGCAGCCGCCTCCATCTCGATCGAAGTGAGATCTCCATCTCACAAACGATTGCTCCTCCCTGCTCCTCATTGGCGTAGATGTCTCTCTTGGGCCGAGTAGAGTGTTTTCGAAGTAGCTTTTTTGATACCAGTGATGGAGGTGAAGATGATATCTAGCCATACGCTAGGTATAGTGGATGGCAGGTACCACCTCGAGAAGATAGGAGGCGCTCATATTTGGAAAGAGCAGAGGCTGTCGTATAGGCCAGTCGAGCATCCAAGCGTGAGGGTTCGCGTGTTGAGACGGGCTGTGGTCAACTCCAGGAGGCAGGTGTCAAATCCTTGTTTCCCTCCACTGGACTTCCAGTTTTGAGGTCGCTAGCTGCCGTGTGCCTGTGGCTCCTCCAGAATGGCAAAGCAGGACGAGATCAAAAGAAACAAAATCCACAGTATCTTCACTCACCTGGCTGATCTCCTGGCGATACTTGAACGCCTTGTCATCCTTTGAAGCCATCTTGCCGGTGTTCAAAGGCGAGCCTCAAGGTTAATGTGAATAGCTTGGATGAACCGAATGTTATGTGTTCTTTTGAGTAAGGTACAGGATGGAAGCTGATGCGGGTATGGGAGTGAGATGCCCCGGAGAGAAATTCCGATAATCGCACTGTTGCCGAGCGAAGTAGATCAAGGCTAGAGATAACTCCTGTGCGAAGGCTGTAATTGCTGCTTTCTATTAAAGTCCGTATGACTACCAGAATTCCATTACTTGGTTGAAAGAGACCTATGGATTGTCGATGAAATTCGGTAAGAAGGGTAGTCGGAGAGCGAAGGCTGGAGGTGTCTTGGTCGCGGTCCGGCTCAGCGACACCAGTTGGGCGTGTTGGGTGCACTGACCAGCCTAACGTACTACCTACCTACTGTCCAATGCAAGCTGGGGCCAGAGGAGGTTCCGAGGTGCCTTCTAGGTTCCTTTCCGCTGGAATCCCGTCGGAAAAGATAACACCCGAACAGCGAGTTGCGTTTCGTTCAGCCATTACGTAAGGTACTAATTTCAAGCAATGGTCCAAAGCAATCAACATGATGGTGCTACAAGATCCAGACCAACATTAAGGATATTTCACACCCATTCTATCAAAGCAAGCTTCGCCCAAATTTTGCTGCCGAGTTCTCCCTGCAATCTGTCTATCCACATGATGGCCTGCAACCGAGATCTTGCGCTGTCCCACGACAAGCGCTCTGCTCCTGATTTCACCCACAGAGGCCGTAACCAAGCCTTCTCGGCCTCAAAGACGGAGATCGCGCACATCATCAAAAGCCAGAACAGGATGTTGTCGTCTTCAATTATTTCAATGTTGATAGTCTCGCATAAGTTTCTGAGGCTCCCAGTGAGATACTTATAAGGAAACTTGCCGCCTGGGATTTGCAAAGTGGTTGACAGAAAGGCCAACATCCCAAGTCGGAGGCATTCATCTGATCGGTCATCGATTCCGTTCTTCAGGTGTACGAGTCGTGTTTGGATTGATCCCAAAGAGTCTTGGAAAAGCGAGCCGTCAAGCAGCGAATTGCAGGCGAGGTGATCGTTGATCAAGTTCACCAAGTGTCTGAGGTCTTGCCATACAACAGCCAGCCTCCAGTCATTCACAACATTGCAAGAGAAGGGCCCAGCTTCGCAAGTTGGGTTCCCCGACTGCGCGTCAAAGCATGAGTTCCAACCGATAGGGCCGGTGAAGAAATAAGGCGTACCTCCCGTGCCAAGAGACCATGAGAGAGCCAGGCTGTGTTGTCAGAGTCGACCCCAAATTGGCAGATGACATGCACTTACCGATCGAGCTTAAAATGTAGCTTCGGATGACTTCGAAGATACTTGAGTCCTCCACGAAGGCGCACGATCTGCCGTAAGCCTGACAGGTGTACGGCTGTGGTGCTGAAGTCACCCCAAAGACCTGCCATCAAGGCTAGAGTGAGTATGACATGGAAGATTGCCTCGTTACGATGTGAGTCTGGTTGAGAAAGCACCTCGTTGAGGAGTCTGATTGTGCGTCTGAGATGAAATTGTGTCATTCTTCCTGGCTGACGACGCTGGGCATGTTCATGTACGGCGGATGAGTAGAATAAGGCGCTGTGTAGGAAGATTTTGTCCTGGAGAATCCAAGAAAATGAGAGTGCTTCGGAGTTCGCGCTGCGAGGGAGGTCGACGCAGTGCTCAATGGGATAGAAGGTGCCCTTAAGAGCATTGAAGTTGACCACTGAGCCCAGTCAGATGAAGTGAGATTTGCGGCATCCAAGGGGCATGTCTTACATCTGAAGAGTATTTCCTGAGATGGCCTTTCCAACTCGTCTGCGAAGCGAATCAGAGACATGTCGCTGGGTGGCGGACGAGGGACCGGAGGCATCAAAGCCGAGGTATCATCTTGAGCGACCTCTCCTGTGCTCGGAGCCTGAGAATGTTCTTCAGCTTGCTGCTTCTCATTATACGCGGTGCAAGGCCAAGGCTTGATAGGGGAAGCCGAATGATGAAGCGACTGGAGCCCGGCATTCTCGCTCGCAGTTTGAGCGGCTGCCCTCTGCACTTTACGAGCAGCTTGTTTGGATCGCCGCGAGCCTTCTTGTCGATTCTTACCGATCATACATCGACTACGAATTACTGATCGGTCTGTGGGCTGTGTCCGTCCCGAACTGCCGACAGTTACGAACGCGAAGTCAGCCGGCATTGCGGTAGTGAAGATGTATGGAACTGCAGCTTCTGGAAAGTATGATTGCAATAATGTTCTAAGCAACTAAATGAGTCGATTCGAGCTATGATAAATGATAAACAACATGAGTATAAGATGAATGAAGGAAACGCTTTGAAAGCAGAAGGCTGTGACTACATAAGCTGCTTTATTTGGTATCATCACACGGAGGAGCTCCGGAGTTAAGACCCCACCCCATCTGACCACATTGTTGTCCGGTTCGGGCAAGCGTCTTATCCTCGCCGGGTACTTCGCCCATGTCTCCTGCAGCCCTAAGGCCTCCGGCATCTTTCCCATTCGTCGTCGCCTCGAAGATCGCTGCGTGAGACTAGAAGAAGAAGATGACCCGGGCAACCTCCAGTCCTCCCTGAAATTAGACAGTCTTCCACACTAGTTCGAATTGCCTTCTCTAGGTGGCGGACCGGTAAAGACCTGCTGCGGTCTCCATAACATGGGACCCTTTTCGAGCATCGCCTCACGCCAGTGCGCCAACACCCCAGGCATGCGTGACAAGCTTGCCATCGCCAAGATGATGTCGGTTTCGAAGCCAAAGGCAGTGTACAGGAAACACCCGTAAAGGTCTGCATTAGCCTTCAAGTTACGGCTCGTAAAGTACTTGTCGGCATTGGCGACGCGGTCAATCTCCATCGCGATGGAAAGCAAAGGATTCGACTCCACTTTGTCCTTGTACTGGTCGATCATGGCGCGGATGAACTTGGCTCGGGGGTCCACGGCCTTGTAGATGCGGTGGCCGTACCCGAAGAGACGCTGCTTCTTGGCCTTGACGTCCGCTATCAGCAACGGCACGTTTTCCGGGGTCTTGAGATCCTCAAAGGCCTTGTAGGCTAGTTCGATGGCGCCTCCGTGGAGCGGGCCATACCCGGACACAAGACCAGAGATACAGCACGCAAGGGGATCTGTCAGGGTCGAGGCAGCGTGTAAGAAGGCGGCGGTCGAGTTGGTCATTTCATGGTCAGCGTAGAGGATCCAGAGCTTCTCGAAGCATTTGACAATCTCCTGATTAGGCTTGTTACTGTGTTTGTCCTCATGGAAGCCCATCATGCGCAACATGTTGGCGATGAAAGACTCGTCGGGATCGGCAGGGGTGAAGGTCTTATTGCGCTTGCGGCAGTATACAAGGGCGACAACAGTGGCGAGAGCAGAGATGCAGCCGATGAGAGCTTCATCGACCTTGTCAGCCTGGCCCATGAACGCTGGTCGTCCGGACTGGAGTGTGGCAATGGCACCTTCGTCATGGCTAGCATAGGCGGCCATGCCAGCAAAGACCATTGTGCTCGTCAAGGAATCTCGAGGAAAAGACTCAATGACTTCAACAACGTGAGGAGGGGGAATGCAGCCAGCAGCGATCTTACGCCGGAAGGTATTCTTCTCATTCGCGTCGGGGAGATGACCCCAGATCAAGAGAAAGACAACCTCCTCATAGTCGTGGTTCTCAAAGAGGTATTCAATCGAGTAGCCGCGGTAATGGATAGATCCATGTCCGCCATCGATATAGGTAATGTTCGACTCGACGCAGGCGGTATTCAGGTACCCAGGATCCAGGATTTTCAAACCGCAATAACTGACGGAGTTGACATCAGCCTGGACGGAAATGATCTTTTGGAGTTCGAGTGCTTTGATTGCGTTTCGGTTGATTGGGATTTCGTACCGCCGCTGGGTGCGATTGTCGCAAATTGTCAAAGTCCCACTGGATGGGTCGGCCTTAGTCCCGAAGAGTAGGCTGCGCGCAAGCTGTGTTGGCAGCATCAATGTCTGGCCGAGTTTACTGAAAGGTTGAGTTACATAGGAAGCGGTAGCGGCACCGATGTTGTAAGTCGTGCTCCAGAATGAGTTTCTTAAACGCAGGTATCCTGGATGAAGCTTCTGAGCCTCATCACTCTTGAGGATTTTCTTGATAGTAAGGCTCTCTTGAGTTGAAGTTCGTTTGATTGACTTCCGGAAGTCTTTTGCGGTATTCATTGAGTTGTCTTTAGATTGGACAACTGCCTGAGTAGTGTAATTGGTGTCCATGGTGTTGAAGTTTGTTGAAATATGGCTAATGAAGATACTTCTTCTCTCTATTTCCAACTTCAGACGAGCACCTCCATCGCTCTTAAGTATCCAGAAACCTCATCCCGCGTTTGACCAGATCGTATCACTTCATGACTGGGCGACAAGGGATACAGCTGACACTGGAAAGCATCTAAGACTCTAGCACAATGTGTCGAAGCCAGTGAATCATTTCTTTCGCCCGAGCAACTAGAAACGAAGCCGCAATAGGAAACATCTTGCACTCCGAGAATTACAGAAGGCAGCAATAGACCCCAATGGGGGCTCCATCTCGCCCGGTCATCGAGGTCTTCACACCGACGCCGGAAGCTCTCAGCGTGATTGCGGAAACGCTTGTTATCGCAATCGCGTGATGTCGAGGTGCTGACCCTCTGGGCTGAGCGTATATGGTGAAGTGGAACAATCTGGGGGCCATGAAATCCGTCGACCCCAGTGACAGTTATCGTGAGCATGGCCACTTAAGCCCACAGTTGCTCAGCTGCCAACGTAAGGCTTACATTTCATCAACACAATGTCCGTCTGGGCAGTGTCTACAGCTCCGAGTCATCGAAGAGGAGCCTCGTCAAGAGTTTAGAATTCTTGTTTCGGTATTGCATACACCGAAAAGACCCGTAAATTACTTCTGAATCCAGATAGGCGGTGCCTGATTCTGATCACGCAGGCACACCAGGCTGCAATGTGTCTACGCCGTTCTGGCACGTTAAGGCTGAGTGCGGCGCGGGGCCTTGGCCCGGGCCGGAAATAAATCCTCGGGTCGCGGAATAAAATTTGATTGTAGTCAGTACGATTGCCTTCAAATTCCCTTAGCACTCAATTTCTCCTTCACATGACGAGAGGTCGGAGGTGTACGGAGTAGTTCGGTGAAGACAAACTTGCGGCTGAAAACGCCTAATCCGGACACCTTTCCACTAAAATCAAAACTAGACCGGATTAGATCGAAGAAACAATAGGGTCAAAGTAAACTTCGCATCTGATGTATTCTTACACTTAATTGGGCAGAGGGTTTATGGACGAAACGGTGATGCTGTCCACTCTAACGGAAGGTCTGGTCGGAGCTCAACGGTGGACGGGCCCCACCAGAAGCCGATCGAGGCGGCGGTCGGACGTGAGTAAATGCCGGAAACTACAATCCGACACGGTTCGGCGCCCCTCCAGACGGACCAAAAGAGCGGGGCATCCTCAAACATGTATCACACCCGGATATCTTGTTTCCCCCAGAAGAATTTCCGAAAAACAGATCATTGCCTGATTGGTGAGGCTGAATGAGCTCAAATGGGTGATGCCGCGGAGTCTATGGAGCGCGACAAAGCTGTAGTTGACCTGACCAAGCATGTGTCAAAAGTCTATTTCAGCAGTATTTCTGCTAGCCATACGCGCTATTAGGCTAATATCAGCGCAAACTCTCCATCATGCCACATGGCCGCGTTTCTACGATAAAAAGGAGGTGAGTCTGTGAGTACAAGTACACTTCTTCCCCCAGAAGCTGGGCTGCCAGAAATCACACAAAGCTTGGCGGCGTCTTCATCGTCGATCCCAAAGTCCGCTTCCGAGACTCCGAGGTCGGCTCTTCACTGAGAACCCCGGCCCGCACATTGTAGAAGCAGGGGCTTTATGATTAACTGCGGGGAAACGTTTGTGGCAAATGTCAAGTATATGTTTGAAGGAACTCAAGTGAAATCGCAACCGATTCCGGCGGCCCTCTGCAACTATTCACCATAGCACATGCACCTACAAGTGGCCGACTCACGAAATGGAAAACACAGCAAATACACCCGCCCATGACTATAGGCGTTATGTTCCGCCAAAAGGAAAGTACTCATCAAGTAGAACTTAGCTTCATTACCTTGTTCTCCTTTGCAACAAGCGGCGTACAGCTAACAACGAGCAGACTGGTCGCGATTCAAGGGGATAGACGTCAGTGATCCTCATAAGTACTCAGAGGCTATCCTGAAAAGTCCGCATCTAGAGACTATCCGGGAAGACTGGAGAAAGAAACTTGATGCCCCATTCCACGGCGTCACAAACGATGGGAAAAGGAGAGAAGGCTTGTATCAAATTCGAGATGAAGGCGCGCCAACGAAACAGATGGTAAACACGAATGATCGGCTCCAGCTGACCCTACGTATTGCCAGCATGTATTGACTCCAAACAGGTTGACGCGGCTTGTAGAGTGCTAGACTCACTCAGTCCGTCCGAAAAAGCAAATACAGTCTACGACTTGGATTCGGATACATGGTACGTCGCTTTCCCAGACAATAGGAACCAATAGAAACCAGATTTGACCACAGTATTGATGAGGTACCTTCGTCTGAGCAGCAGAAGATGGAGTAATCCAGAGTTTGTGTTGCATCAATGCGGTATACGCCTCGAGAACCTCGAGAAAACGAAAACAGAGGCCATCATAGGTCTCTTGGAGCAATCTCTAAGCCCTAGTGGCTTTGCCAAGGTCAGAGGAGCAATGAAAGTGAACAAGTTCTTGGGGGAAATTTGTGGAAAAGAAGCCATCTTGAACGAACACAGCTATTCGTGAGAATCCCGGTGCCTTCTTTCTATTCCATCTGACTAAAGATAATGCTTGCATTCAGTTTCACGTTATTTGGTGAGCCCTCAGAAACAGAGCCCTGGGGTTACATGCTGTTTGGCCATCATCTATGCTTGAACGTTTTCATCGCTCGCCAGCAAATGGTGATAGGACCAGTCTTTATCGGCGCTGAGCCAAACGTGGGTTCTTCATCATCTGTTTAACCCAGGTCATTGATAAAGCTGACAGTGCGGAAGATCATTGACGAAGGCCTCGACAAGGGTCTCACGCTGTGCGCCAACGAGGGCCAGCTGGGCCTGCAGCTGATGCAGTCTTTACCTCCGATACTGCAACAGAAAGCTCAAATATACCCTACAATGAAAGATCCTGCAATGCCAGAAGGTCGGTGGAACCCAGCCGACCAGGTAAGATGTTGTACTCCCGTCTGCGGATTCTTGGCCAACAGATATTTATAGAGACACATGGCCGGAGCCTTCCAAGACAACCGCGTGATTCCTTACGAAGGCATCATTGTCACCGACATGTCCGAAGAGCAGCAAATACTCATCATGGCTATTGTGCATGAGTTCTTGGCCCTATGGCCTGCTGAGCCACTCCGTCACCGTCTGAAGCAGATACTCAAGCACCTCACCGAAACGCATTTTTGTTGGATTGGCGGGTTCGGAGAAGATGACCCTTTCTATTACCGTATTCAGAGTCCGGTGGCACTCTTTGAGTTTGACCACCACTCGGGGGTCTTCCTGACCAACAAAGAGCCCGCCAAGTATCACATCCACACGATCCAGAGACTTCCGAATGGCAATGACTACGGGAGGGCACTGCGGGAACTGCTCCGACCTCGATAGGAAATGGACGATCTAGTATCCTCGTGGTTTTTTCTTCCGAAGCGCACTTTGTTGGACGAATCTTGTAACATCTCCAGTTTTGAGTTTATTGAGTGCCGAGCGTAGGAATCACATCCTGTCTTGGCGTGGTGTTAGGTGCATGAGGATCGCCACGGCCCGCTCAAGGCAACCAAACGGATTATCTGATTGACTTGACCACCATTCGTACGTCATATGTCAGCCGCATGGCTGTGGATTCTCGAGGTGCAGTTTTCGTAATGTGCCAAGACGTTGTTATGGCGAAGCACTTGGCCCCGCGACCGTTGGCGGAGGTGATGCGCCGTGCTAGAGCCCGCCGTCTTGGCCCGCAGGGCTTCACGGCTCGGGATTCTGAGTCGGCGGTGATCGCCACAAGTGACATCAGCCTCCGGACAAGAATCAACGACAGCATTTTGAGAATCATGTCGATGGAATACCCTCGTGGAACGATGGGTTCTTGGGACTTCATCAGCCCCGTTCAGTTGCACTTTATTGCCCGAATAGCAACGGAGAATTGACTCTTAAGTCTTGCAGTTTTGTATCTTGCGTTCCAAACCTCAATGATATAAGAGACATGATGCAGCCAACGGCTTCAGGGAGTGATAATCAGTCTAGTCTCAAACCTTAATAATTCAGTCTCGGAGATTTATCCTCCAGTCACAATCTTCCAACAACGTCAGCCCGTGTCACTGAGATGTTGGGTACAGTACTACCGAGCCGATCCCTCGGTGAGGAGACACCGACGGAGTTTGCCATCCTTTCACCAGCCCATGCCATTCTCTTCGTAGTAGTGGGCTTGCTGCTCTTTTTTCTCTACAGACAAGCTCTTCCCAAACCGATTCCTGGCATCCCTTACAACAAGGCTTCAGCGAAGAGCATACTTGGGGATGTTGCTTCACTGCAAGAGGGCATAGCCCGAACTGGCGCGTTCCAGATATGGCTTCACGAACAAGCGGCAAAGCACAACTCGCCCCTTTTCCAAATCTTCATCCGCCCTTTCGGAAAACCAATGCTCATTCTCTCTGATTTCAGAGAGGCCCAAGATGTGCTTTTGCGGCGGGGCAAGGAATTCGACAGAGCGAGCATCGTGGGTGACATGATCTCAGGGGCTGTGCCCAATCACCACATCATCATGAAGACGAACAGCGAGTGGAAGCACCACCGAAGACTCCTTCAGGACCTCATGTCTCCCCAGTTCCTGAACGAGAACGCCGCGCCCATCCTCTACTCTGGCATCCTGCAGCTCATTCAGCTCTGGAACGACAAGGCCCGCATTGCAGAAGGCCGCCCCTTCCAGGCCGACTCCGACATCTACTACTCCATTCTTGATGCGACGACAGCCTTCTCCTTTGGAGCCGGTGCCAAAAGTGCCATTCGTCCTACCGTGGACCTTATAAAAGGCTTAAGTACTAATAACATTCGCCAGCTCCGAGGATCAACGCCTGCTGGCGGCGAGCAGCCTCTGCACTTTCCCACTGCCAAGATCGACGAGAGCCTCAGGGCATCGCTTGATGTAGCGGATGCAATTGAGCAGCTTCAAGGGTCGCCCGTCCCTAGACTCAAGTGGAAACTCAGCGTAGAGAGGCAGCCCGCTGTACGCCAAGCGATCCAGATCAAAAACGCTTTCCTCCGCGAGGAGATCAGCAAGGCCCTGGACAGAACGCAGAACTCCAAGGAGTCCAAGGAGCATTCTTCTGCCGTTGAACTCATGGTTTCAAGGGAAAAGAAGCTCGCCGATAATGATGGCAGGAAACCAGACTTCTTCTCTTCTATGATGATGGACGAGGTAAGTTTAAGTATTCGCTCCGTGATCATTGATAGTCTCTCGTCTCACACATCCCTAGATCTACGGACTCATGATAGCAGGGCACGACACTACCAGCACCACCTTAGGTTGGGGTGTCAAGCTTCTGGGAGACAACACAGACTCCCAGTCTAAGCTCCGCGAAGTCCTCGAGTCCGCCTTTCCCGACGCTGCTGCCGAAAACCGAAACCCGACAATCAAGGAGATCACTGGAACCAAGGTCCCATACCTGGATGCCGTAGTAGAGGAGATTATTCGTCACGGCAGTGCCGCTGTTCTCCTGGATCGTGAGGCTATCTGCGACACGGAACTCTTCGGTCATCGCATTCCTAAGGGCACCATCATCCTCTCGCCCGCCCGCGGACAGAGCATTCTGAAGCCCTCCATCCCAGTCGACGAGTCGACGCGCAGCAAGAGCAGCCAGAACGCAAAGGCCAGAGCCTGGGACGACGCAGACATCACTCACTTCAAGCCGGAGCGCTGGCTGGTCGATGCCAATGATTCCCCGCCCGAATTTGACCAGCAGGCCGGGCCCCAGCTTGCGTTTGGCTTTGGTACCAGAGGCTGCTATGGACGACGTCTGGCGTACCTCGAGATGCGTATTATCGTCACGATGATTGTGTGGAACTTCCAACTGCTTCCTTGCCCGAAGGAGCTGTCTGGCTACGCGCCCAAGGAAGGCTTCACGTATAAGCCCAAGGACTGTTATGTGCGCTTGCAGGCGCTTCATTGAGCTGAGGACGAGAAAGTTGTACTTGCCATGTATTCTTAAAAATTGTCTTCCCATTCGGGTATGGTGATTTCTTGCTTATTCCAGCTAGTGAAGGCAATTAGAATGAGTTAAGGCGATCCGGATCGGGATAGAGGCATGCAGGTTCTACCAAATAAAGCACTATTCGATGCAGAGTCTCCATATGTACGTATCCAAGACAATAGAAGGTGACTTGTAGAACATCTCGGTTCCGTGATAGCCTGAGAGTATTGCGCCTCATAAACACCAAGACCCCGAAGGTGGAAAGAAACTATAGCCTTGAGCAGGTCATTGATTTTGCCGATTGGTCGACTAGCCTGTTGGCCCAGTGGGAGGTATCAAAATTGAAAAAGAAAAAAACCAAAAGCTCGGGTTCTCAGTCCATGAATCGAACAGGCTACACCTACGAAACCCTCCATCTTTGCAGACTTCTCGAGATTTCATACCAAGTTCGTATACCAACGGACTAAAGCGTTGTACCGCTCAACCACACGGATCAAGGGGGCTTGGTTGACGAGTGAGCGATCCCAATCTGAATATAAGGCATACGCCTGCGGTTCCTGCCTGGGATGGATAGGATTGACGGTGCAGAAGGAAGGAAGTTTAGGCGACGGGCTTCTTTCCCATTTAGCCCATGGGAAGTATTTCACGTGCCGTTATTCACATCACTCAAATTTCTGACTGCAGCACAAGCATAATATTAGGAGCCGGATGGCTCGCTTAAAAATCGACGTTGTTTCATATCCAATTGATACGATTATTGTGAAGTATGTGACCCCCCCCTCCTTTAACATCTTAATTCTTTTCTTCTTAAATCCCAGCAACGACTAGGACGCTTGAGCTCCAGCCTCGAAAACGTTGATTACACCGTCGCCATTGAGATCAGCCGGGTCACCGGGTGCTGCGGGAGTTCCGTTGGGGTTGTTGCGGTCAAAGGTGCTCTGAAGCTGCTCGATCAAGCTTGAGCCACCGCCGCCTCCGTTTCCACCTTGCTTTGGTTCCCTCGTGTCCAAAGCGCCGATGTCTTGGCCTTCATCGTCATCTTCTTCGATGTCCCTAGCCACAAGCTCGTCAAGGTCTCTGTCGACTAGGATAGCGCCGCCTACGTCGCCACCGGGTTTGTTCGAGGCGACTCGTGCCTGGAGATCCGAAATGGCTTCATTGCCAGACAACGGTTGGGGAAGTGCAGTTACAACGCTGCTCAAGAAAAGAATGGCGACGGTGGAGAACTTCATTTTTGCTGATGATAGGAAGGACAAAAGGTGGTTGCTGGTCGGCGGTATTGTAATATGATTATGAGAGTCGTAAGACGATGACTACTGCCTGAGTAGTGAGGGAAGAAAGCTGCAAGACTAGCGGAAGTTTACTGGGAGCGAGACGAGATACTTCCGAGAGTTAATACAACTTAAGCTGCGTTACTCGTGATGCGCCTTTTATATCAATCACGCTCAAGTGTGTCTACTTTCGTTGGATACCATCAGGCATTGAGTGTGATGTTCCATGATGGTGATGCAAAACTGTTTGGGTTTTTCTCGCTTGGGCATGTCAAAGTTGCCCTGGCAAGGAGATCCTAGAATATGAGAGGGATAGCCTCTCCAGTCTCCATCGACAGAAAATGAGACGGTGTTTGACACGATGATGTGACTGCTGACTCAGGCACACCTGTGCGAGGCAGAAAAGGCACTCTTAACATGGAAGTTGCTGGGGAAAGCTCCTGACTTATATGTCGTTGAAACTACTTATTGATTCCGTCTCAACTTCCTTTGGTGTGACATATGTCAGTGTCTCAAACTGCAGCCCCTATTTCCCCATCCTCTGACGTTCCCCTCAAGCTTAAAACTATCGTTGGCTAACTAAAACAGCACCAGACGTCCACACCGGTGTTTCATCTAATCACGCGCGATCAAGCTATTGAATTCATCTTTTATTATTTCAGACGTCAACCTAGAGAAGATGCGTACCGCTTGAGCACAACGCGAAAGCGATGCATCAGACCAACCCACACGCAGTCGCATGTTCTGCGGGACTTGATATGGAAGCCCCAGCGCACTACAAGATGTCCCCCACTTTGGACATGTCAACAGGCTCTCTAAGCCTAGACTCTAGATCAAAGTAAGGCGATGGAACGCGCGGGTCAATTGCTTGTCCGAGGAAAAGGTCGCAGAAGGCCTTTGTTGACAGGAATACGCGGGCCATGCCTAGAAAGTTACCTTCCCATTAGCACAGGACGTAGAAAAGGAAACGTCCGAATGGAAATATGCGGTTCGGATTTCTCCAGCACGATTATCAAAACATGGAGGTGGGAGACGTTGAAAAGACGCATGATGCTTACCATGACCGTGATAGCCACCGATGAGGTATTGGCCAGGCTTGCCAGGCAGCTCTCCTATGAAAGGCAACAAGTCCTTGCTGAGCCCCATGATGCCGCTCCAAGCAAATGGAACAGAATCTCTGACCCCAGAACTTGGGCTTTCGAGAGACTCCTGCCAGCCCTTGAAAGTCCGAGATGGCCCTTTTTTGATGAAGTCAAGCACCTCGGTAACGGCAAAGGAGTCATCGCAGTCTCCGTAGCCGCCTTCAGGCCCGTTCGGATGTGCGCCTTCTCCTCCACCCCAGATCAGGTACTTCTGCGGACCGGGACGTTGTATGAGATAGTCGTAGTTTTCATCGGACACGAAAGCAAAAGAAGTTGACAGCGGCAAGTCGACGTATGCGGGCGGAGGCGCGATAGCCGCAACATGACCCTTAAGGGGAATGATGCGCCCATCAAGTTCCGGCAGTAGATGAGAAGCATACCCGTTAGTGGCGTGTATCACCTTATTGGCAATGATATTGCCGCGACTAGTCGCGACAGTCCAACTATCATGCTCACTGTCGGCTCGAGAAACTTTCAGCACTGGAGTGTTGGCCTCAAGCTGAAGGCCACTCTCGAGAGACTCTCGTATCAAGGCCATGGCCAGCTTATACGGCCAGAGACTTGAAGCAGGAAACGTGATGGCGCCAAAGCAACTCTTGATGCGAAGCTTTTCTTCAGCTTCAGCCTTTGGCAAAACCGTGATTTCGGAGACGTCGCCTCCAGCTTCCTTGAAGCCGTTGTAAGATGCGAGTCCTGCTTTCCAGGTGTTTTCCGTCAAATACACATCCGCGGACCGATATTCGATGAGGTCTATCTCATCATCAAGGCCATTTTCTCGGATGTATGCCAAAGTTTCGCGGTGGTTAACCGCTTCGAATGTGCATTGTGCCACAGCTACCTCGGGGCCATGTAACTTGGAGTATGCGGTAAACCCCCGATAGCAATCAGGTTTGATGTGTCCGCCTAAGGCACACAGTCAAACCTCGTTGGCCTTGAAGATTATTTGCTAGTTTGGAGACTGAAAACTTTCTTACCATTCCTACCCGTAGCGCCACTTACCGCGGCTCGGGCTTCGAGCATCAATACGGACTTTGGTCTATTGGGTGACTGATCTGTGAGCAGTCGGTGGGCAATAAAAGCACCAGAAATACCAGCTCCGATGATGACCACATCTGCTGAGGTGGGAAGTCCATGGCTAGAAGCACTCAGACGTCAGTTCACCCGCTGCTATCGGCTATTGCGATAAGAAAGGAAGTTGAAAGCTGACAAGCAACATTTGTTATCATCATGTTAGATGCAGGATTACAACGATGTTTGACAAGAACGGAAAGCACTTTAATGACTCTCTGCTCCGGAGAACACATTTCTAGTCTGTAAGATCAGGTTATGAGCTTCTTTGACTTACGACTGATGGTTGCTTATAACTGAATCTGGTTCAGATTGCCAAAACGAAGCTGTCGGATTACTGACTGGCAACGTTGCCGTGTAAGTTGGGCCCGACGCCATTGATGCCTAGGCCAGGAGAGAGTGTGAGAAAAGCTACTGGTGTAGGGTACTAAATATTGGCTGACCCCAGGTTTTCTTCGACTCCTAAGCAGACTATCCGAGGATGGTAATGGAAGATGAGATATGCACTGATAAGCCAACCGGTCACCAGAGGGAACGCGGGGAACACGGCCACCCCACCTACCCAGGCTAGAGCGTTCCCCACCATCAAGTTGGGAAGCAGACGATCCCCTCCAACACTCGATAGAGGACTGTTGCAATGGCATTGATTCCTCTCTTCATTCAGTGACTTTGTAGTTCACGTCGTGGCCTGTCACTTCGTGCTTCATTGAGAGGTACAGAAATCATTAAGGCCACTGCCAGCAACTCGAGCCTCGGAAAGGTATTTTTTCTTGCTTGACAAAGCTGAGCACAGTCGTCTATGCCTGCACGGGGTGTTTCCACGCTTGATACGAGATCCAAGCCTGGAAAATACCGACGACAAGTCCCATTATCCCAAGAATAATCGCAATGATTACTCCAATAAGCGTCGCCAACATCACGTGCCTAGCTTTACTCCGCCGTTCCAACCAGACATAGATAGGTCTTCGGGGTCTTGGGTTCTCGAGTTCGTCGTATAGGTCCATCAATCGCGAACCCCAGTAATGGTATCTAATATCTCTCTCTGAGTCGCGGAGATACGGCCGGTATCCGAGACTGAGGCAGTCGGGATCGAAGGAAGCTTTCGATACCAGAGATCGTAGAAAAGCCCGCGATTCCTTATCTAAGGGGAAAAGGATATTTTGAAGGGAGTCTAGGGTCTCTAATGCTAGCTGCCGCGGTAGGAGAGGCCTATCATATGTCAGTAATGGCATTCGATAGTCGTTTGCTTTGGAGACCCTACTCCGCATGAGTATCCTTCGATGCCTTGAGGCACTCCTTCAGAAAGGCAGTATGGTGATAAAGCTCGACGACTCCAGTTTTGAGATCCATCCGAAGGTGGTTTCGAAGGTCATCTGTGCCTTGGAACGATAGCCCAGCGACTTTCTTAAGCCTTGTTGCTTTCAAGGCTGATTTGATGTCAGGTAAGGAATCGCCAGGGTTGTTGAGGTCAGGATGGTCTCGGACTGGGAACATGGTTGATACAAGTTCCCGCGCAGATTGATCGTTCCTCCAGACGGCTGTTTCGATACCACCAGCTTGTCCTTCGTACGAGCAGCTGACCATGAGGATAGCCTTGGCAGCAAGATTGAAGGCTTGCTTCTCATCTTCTGGCAAGGTGCTCTTTCCCATTTGCCTCTTAGAGAAGTAATCTTGCGCCAACTTGATTCTCTGCGCCTCTGGATTCGACCTGATCAACCGGATAAGGTCATGCAGATCGTCGTGCGACCGCAAAGCTTGAACCTCGTCCGGCGGAAAAGCATCAGAGACATACGACGCCGTCATCTCTCTGTAGAACCGAAAATAGGGTTCGAACTTCATGCTCTCGAGCTTGGACTGCTCCTCTTCATTGTGAATGCATTGTTTCCAGCCCCATAGAGCTTTACCCAATTGCCGAAGCTGAGACTTCGTGACCGACTCCAAAGGGAATGTTTCCAAATCAAACTCATCCATACTGATCAGAATGCCTCAGAAGTATTCTGGCAAAGAAACTCAAATGAATATGTTCCACACAGATTCCTCCAAATTAGAGGAAGTATCTGCTGCATACAAGCACAAATCGTCAAGTAGCAATTGGGAGAGATAATCCTGGCTGCGGCGCAGGCATGCTGGAAGCAGGCTGCGTAATTGAGGCCTCTTATTGGACCAACCACGCGACTTTGCCGCTGAAATTGCATAAGAACCATGCGAGGCAGTCTTGAGGGCTGACTTGTCAATATGTCGCTGGCTTTTGTAATTTTGACCCGACGCGTGACCCAAGGAAGCCCTAAGTTTACTTGAGCAATCTCAGCGTGACGCAGAATCCGGCTGGCTAAAGCTTCGTATCACCCAAGAACATTTTCCTGCAGGAACTACTTTTCAAGCTGCAGTCGTCATGGCCGATGAGTCTTTGGCAGCCGCCAACCGTGCTGAGATCATCAGCTGTTTCAAGGAAACACACCAAAAACCATGGACTTCGAACCCCGCTACATGCCATGTCGCTCCTATTACAGAATCCTCATCCGTATCGGAGAACTTCACGGATTCGGGATATTCTTCCCCAGACGATCCTGCTATATTCGATTCTCGAGACAGACTTCAAGAAAGCAAAGCACGGCCTAAAGGAATTCCAGTCAAGTTGGGCGGCCGAGATCTCCTCAGATTCAAAATCACACCAGACAAGTCAACACGCGATCGCTTCAGCCATGTCATAAACCAGATAGAGCCATTGTTACTGGCTCGCTTGAAGAAGAAGACTGGGGAGCGAATAGGTCCGATCGCATTTCGATCAATGATACTCGGGACAACTGCGGAAAACGCTCATGAGCATATTGTTGTGCTTTGCCCCAGCCAGCTTCTAGACACTATCAACGAATTCTTCGAAAAGACTAAGATAATCAAAGAGCTGTGTGAGCCGAGTGACCAGATACCGTCTATCAGTATCATTGTTGAGGGTAGAGAGCCACGTATGATGGCACAGCTCTTGCATTCAGTCATGGCAATAGGTCCTGCTCCCCAAAGTCCCGATGACATTTACATGCCTTGGATGCAGAGCCTCAGTGGACAGTGTGTCGTAGCCAAAGATACTCTGGGCATCGCAATTATCGCGACTTGCGGTGGAATGATCAAAGTGGTGGACAAGACTGGTAAACGAATGCTCTATGGAATGACGGCTGGCCACGTCTTCAACGATGCGAACTCTCAAATTACTCAAGATTTAGCCAATGTATGGAGACCACAATATCGTGAAGAATGGCTGACGTCCGGTAGAGTTTGGAAGAGAGACGGGCTCCAAGAAAAAGGCCCGGATTGCGATTGGGCCTTGCTCGCACCTGAGGACGTCTGGCTGTTCGGGGCGAATAGGTACCGTACACGAGACTCTTCAGGACAGCCCATTGAGCATACCCTCACCACTGAAATTGGAACTTTTCCGCCCGACACAATCTGCCAGGAAGTGGAGATGATTGACGCTCCTCACTCCACTAAGCCCGGCCTGCTTTCATCTGAGCCAACTCGGATTCTGTTAGGAGCCGGTGATGCGTTCACACAGGCCTACATTCTCACGCTGGACGAGGGCGAAGGTTAGCCGTTCTTATTTCTGGCTATGTGTAATATTCGCATCGCACTAACAGAACTTTGCAGTCCGTAGCGGCGATTCTGGTGCTTGGGTCGTGGGATCATCCTCCCACGACGTTTTCGGCCATATAGTTGCGAGAGACATGTTTGGTGACGCTTACGTTGTTCCTTTGGACCAGACTTTTAACGACATTCGAACGAGTATGGACGCGACTTCCGTTCAATTGGCTTCGCCGCAAGACTTCGCAGCAGTAGCCGGTGACGAATCCCTCCCCGGCCATGTGCGAAGAGTTGATCCCTTTACAGTCTTGACTTCATGGCACGAGATCTGGCATCCACGGGGGTCGACACGGGGGTCGCATGGGATGGCCCAACTGCCAAATGATCGCAACAGGTCTACGACATTGCCTGATTCCGCTTACGGGTCGGCAGATTCGACTCCGCAAGTATCACTTTCCGCCATGCCTATTTGCATCAGCGATAATCTTCCCTCCGACTTCAAAGCCACCGACGATGCAACAGAGGAGTGTATATTCGGGAGTTTTGAGCCAGGTGGCATTCATTTATGGGAAGATGGTCAAGCAGGAGATGACGAAGTGCCTGACATGTCGTGGCGGGTATTCTAAGCAAGGATGAGGGTTCAGTATACTCATCCGACAGCTAAGCAGATGGGCCCAGTAGAGCTCCGGGCCGCAGTGAACATACTCTGCCGTGAGGAAGCCCTTGAGCGAAGCAGAGAATTTGGGTTATAGATGATCTGGAGAGCAAGGGGGGAAATATCCTGAGCAAGTTGGCACTAAGCATATGTGTTAGAAGCGTCAAGATGAATAAAGTCGCGAATTTAGGAGAGAGTGGCCTTTTGAGATAGTTTGGTGATTGACTACCGCTGTGATTTCTTGCAATGCATCCCCCATTCAGCGCCGCCTTATGCCTGAGTAGTTAGGATGAGGTAGCGAAATATTTACATGAGAATTGTTACCCAAGTATGCCCTCTCTTGCCCAGCACTACATTGAGTAAATGCTTCGTGCTCTGACCATGCTGTCAGAACAAGAGACAGAAGCCGGATCACGAGGTAATTTTGAATCGCGCCAGGGATTTTCAAGAGTACATCATGCATATGGCGCAGGATGCCCTCATGGCCGACTCCCCTCTACCACTCAACGTGATATTAGACACTCGACAGAAAGGTACCTATCGACTTCGTTCCCAAGACCGCTAGGTCACTCCTTTTATTTCCAAAACATACCGAACAATCTAACCATAAGCCCAGCGGGAAGCTATTCCATTACCGAGACATCCACCGGTTACTCTTTGCCATTCGCCGGCAGTCGCAAGCATCTGAAGGGTCACAATCATTTTGAGAAACGCATCATAATGTTTCCCAGAAGACGAAGCAAGATTAGATGATCGACAGACTTCTCTTTGGATGTCAAACGGGTATTCAACAGAGAATCGAGGCAAAAGAAGAAAGCTAGGGAAAAAAAAAAGGAGGACAAGATTTCCCATCGGAAACATGATCATGCCCCCTTTCCCTATAGCCCCTATTTATACATGTACATACAAGAACATCCAGTTGAGAATGCTGTCCTCACGGCCGTGCGCGTTCGCGTTTCGCCTTAGCCCATGCCCTTGAATCCCTCAGCCCCTTTGCCCGTGTCCTGTCCTGTCCTCGTCCAGAAGTTTTCCCAATGATGTGTGTGTTTGTGTGTGAATGGTGTTTTGTCATTAAAATGACCCGGATCTCGTGTGTCGAGTCCGAGTGGGATACAATGCCATCGTCGTCTATTACGACAATCGTTCTTGATTCATGAAGTGTGGGTATGGTGATCGTGTGCTCTACAAGGGGGCAGGGGGCTCATCGACCATCTCAGCGTCCTCGGTGACGGCGAGCACAGAGTCAAGCACGCCGTCGGGACCCTCGCCATCGTATGTTTTGCCGCCCTCGTACGTCTTTCGTCTCCAGCCGCAGGACTCCGACGGGTCCTTGGTCCACTCCGTTGTCGGGAAGTAGTGCTCGTTCTTCTTCATGGTGATGACCCAAGGTACACTGTCAAAGGTGACAGCCTTAAGTCGGAAGTCTGCAAGAATCACGATTAGCTGATGTACAAGAGAAGATCGGGACGGAATGCCACTTGCAGGTGTTGTCTGGGATCTTCTGGACGGAAGCGAGGAAGGTCTCCAGATCGGGTGTCGCCTTTCCGTTCACGTGGGTGATGAAGTTGGTGGGCGCGAGGCCGTACTGGTAAGAAGGCGAACCGCGAGTGCGGGCCGACACGTACACCTCGCTGTGCAGCTTGCTAATCTGCTGTCTGACGGCATGATGAGGTCGGTGCAAGATGGCACCACAGAAGGAGATGGCATGGTCAGTCTCGACATCGTCGGCGGCGACGGTGTGAGCCTTGATGTGGATCTCCTCGCAGTTACGGACGATGACGGCGTCGAGGACCTCGTGAGAGTACATGATGTCCAGCTCGGAGACCTTGGTGATGACCTTGCCGTTAAGCGTGAGCAGGATGTCACCCTCGAGCAGAGCGCTTGATTGCTCGCTGCGCTCAAAGGTCCGCTTGCTGACCATGAAGAGCTGGTGGTGTGTCTTGTTGGCTTCGGTGACCTTGCTGATCCACTCGTCGGAGACGCCCATCACTCTAGCTTGCGCCATCGCGATGGCTCTGAACTCGACGGAAAGCATGCGCAGCTTAGGAACGATGCCCTGTTGAATTTGAGAGACAACAGGCAGCAGAGTGGGCGTAGCAAGACCAAGATGGTACTCCTCATCACGGTTGCTGCAAGGAGAACGCTCGCCCAAGTAAGTGAGCCACAAGGCCTGGACCGTACCATCGTCGGCGACGAGAACACCGCTTCCGCACTGGTTGCTGAGACTCGTATCAACAGTGATGGCATCGACATTGATGGCACGGTATCTGGGTGCACCAGAGTTGGCCGGGATCGCCACAGCGGTGACTTCGGTAACTGTAGTGGAGGCGTGGACAATCTTTCCAATCCTGTTGTATCCCATGAAGTTGGTGGAAGCTCCTTGAGTGATGTTGTCCGTGCTCAACCTCGCACTTTGAACGGGAGCATTGACCAGCGCCGGGTCATACTGCACAATGGCATAGTTCTGAAGGGGATGGAGGAAAACGACCTTGCCCTCGACAATGATCGAGTCCGCAATGGTGATCGTCACATCGCACAGATCGTAAGGCACAATTGCTCTTGAGATGACAACAAGACCCTTGTCGGCGTCAATCACCAGGCCCATGCCCCACTTCCTGTTCTTAGGGAAGCCGTCCAGCTTAACAGGCATGGTGCAGTTGACGTGGACGAAGCTGCGCACTAGATCGGCAATGGCCGTGTGCTTCACATTCTCGAGTTGAATGAAAGAGGCGGAGCGAGCAAC